ATCAACATGATTGTAATCAATAGGTAAACATGGTAAAATTGACCTTATGCTTATCATATATGGGAATTCTAAAAAGGTCAAAATTAAAATCATTATCGTTAATTATTGATTACAATCATGCCCAAAGAAACGTTGCATCATGTATAATTCAACAGCATAGGATAAAACTGCATCGTACATGGTAAGATATATGTAGCTTTGGCATAAATCTGGGATATTCGATATCAAATAAACAAGTTTCGGCACGGCCAAAGCGTTAAAATCGGGATGGTTATTTGGGAGTTCAGATCGGTCGTGCAAGTCGCGATGGCAGCAGTAACTAAAACCCCGGCAGTGATGTGCCACCAGTCCATCCAGAGGCGCCCAATTTTGCTAGGCCGTCGCGGCTAGTATCGATTGGGAATATTTAACCTTTTCTCTATCCTAAGGGGACCTCCGTTTTTACGACACAATAGAGGGTCACTATGGTACCGGTCAGCCCTCGGTACCTACGTCACGGGATGATGGACCCGACTCGGGGCCTAGCCCTTCTGTTCATTGTTCATGGCATGCAATGAGTATGCGTGGATATGGCTGTGTGTGTAAGCCCCGTGTTGAGCACTCCCTGCTTCTAAGTGTATGTTTGGAAAAACGGATTCCTTCGTATCCGTTGTGTGTCACGGCATGAGTGGGTACGGCCGTGTATGTATGTGACCCTGTAGTGGAGCAACCTGCTTATATGTATTTTAGTGTGCCAACAGATGGCAACCCGCAGCACTACCGGGCCAGCAGCTGACGGGAAGGGATCGGCACACCTGGGGACAACGCGGGGCGCGGCGGGGCGACTCGCACCTTACTGGCCACCGCGGCGACACGGCGCCTGCGTGGGGCGGCGCCGGTCCCGATCCCTGGACCGGTTGCTGCGGCCTCGGGACTGGATGACAGCGCCGCCGCGGCGCGACGGCGTACTGGCGAACTGGCACTTACAGACGACGCGACGGCAGCTGAGGTCGCTGCGCCTGCAGAGAACGCTGCGCCCGAGACTAGATCGCAGGGCACATCGACTGCAGATCCGATGTACAGCGGCCGGAATCAATCGCGACGCAGTGTCGCGACGCCCACGATACGCGCTGCAATGACGGTGGCGCTGAAGTGAATGTGGCGCCGCGACGGGACGGGGCGCTGAAGGAGGCGCCGCTACTGAAAAATGGCGCGGAAGGCGCTGTTGAATGTAGTGCTGAAGCAGGCGCCGAGACTGCAGCTGAAGTGAGGTGGTGCTAAAGGAGGCATGGCTGCTGCAGGTGATGCTAAAGGAGGTACCACTGCTACAGGTGGCGCTGAAGAAAGCGCTGCTGCTAAAGGTGGCGCTGAGCGAGGTGCCATAGCTAAGGGTGGCGCTGAAGGAGGTGTCTTGACTACAGATGGCGCCGGATGAGGCGCTGCGACAGCCCGCGGCGCTGAAGTGGAAACGCTGAAGGCGCTGTTGAATGTAGTGCTGAAGCAGGCGCCGAGACTGCAGCTGAAGTGGGGTGGTGCTAAAGGAGGCATGGCTGCTGCAGGTGATGCTAAAGGAGGTACCACAGCTACAGGCGGCGCTAGATGAAGAAAGCGCTGCTGCTACAGGGGGCGCTGAGCGAGGTGCCATAGCTAAGGGTGGCGCTGAAGGAGGTGTCACGACTACAGATGGCGCCGGATGAGGCGCTGCGACAGCCCGCGGCGCTGAAGTGGAAAAGGCGCGACGACTGAGGGGCTGCTGGTCAACTACGGCCGGTGGCTGCAGTGTGCGTCAGCTGAGGGCTGATGAGCGGACCAGCCCGGCCGGTTGCCGCTATGCACCGTACGCCGGCTGGACACCGCTGAAGATGAACAGCGAACACTCCAGAGCGCTGCTACGATCGACCTGTGCTGCTACGGGCGTCCGCGGCCGGCTGTGGCGGAGTGCCGGACACCACGGCCTGCTGCTGCTCACGACTGCGGCCCGCACGACGCCATTCTTGCGCTGCCGTGTGCGATCTTCGTGGTGGTAAAAGCTACCGATCACCAACGGTCACCGCCTACCTGAGGGCCGAATGCTCACGCGCCAAGCGGCAGTCCGTGCCCGCTGCCGAGTGCCGCGCCGGCGCACCATTCGACGCTGCCCGTGCCCAGCCATGCCAGCTCCGCGCGCTGCCGTGTGCCGCGCCGGTGCACAATCAGACGCTACTCGTGCCGCCAGCTCGCGTGCAGTGATACACAGTGCCTGGGACTACGCTGTCCCACGCCGCCTCAGGCAGCGGACGGACACAGAAGCGGTGCCAGCTCAGCGCGCTGCCGTATGCCGCGTCGGCGGACAATCGGACGCTACTCGTGCCGCCAGCCCGCACGCAGTGATGTGCCGTGCTAAAGACTACGCTGTCCCGCGCCGCCTCAGGCATCGGTCGGACGACAGAAGCCGTGTGCCCCACGGTGTTATGCGAACACTCGTGCCGTCAGCCCGCGCGCATCCATGCGCGGTCCGTGCCACCGGCCATCGTGTCGTGCTTCGCTCCGCCCCCAGAGTAAGGGAATTTTTCCCTCCTGGCGAAGAAGGGGGTATTATGTAGGGATTGTAGGAATTTAGTCGTATTAATCAGGGATTGTAGGAATTTAGTCGTATTGATCAGGGATTATAATATTTAGGAGAAATTTAGGCGTATGAATGTGAGCGTGTGTCATCCTTTGTTCGTCTTGTTCGTCCGTTGCGCCCGCGTCCGCGTTGGGAGGTACACCAGTGGAGGTCAGCGTGACGGTAACCAAGCGCGCCGGTTGGTCGGCCTTAGCCTCGGGCCGGCTGACGGGGGGCGTTCCCGCCTCGAGTCCGGTACATAAGCACAGCAGGAGGAGGAGTCGGGGCTCAGTGTTGGCCTGCCGAAGTGCTGTGCTGCGCTGTGCCCGACTACTCTTCTGCTGCTGGCTCTCCTGGCTCGAGGTAGGTTCCCGTCACGCAGGGATTGTCGCGGGCTCACGGACATCCCTTAGCTAGGTAGGAGCAACCGGGAGGAGGGTTAGGTTGATTCGCGTGGCGTAGGGTAGAGTTAGGGTAGAATTATGGTTTGTGAGAATTACGATTACAATATTTCATTCGGCAGTCCTTTATACTGATTTCGGCAATTTGACAAATGTGAATAAACGGGGGGATGAATCGATAACGTCTTTTGGTAATGAGATGAGTCGAAGGAGAACGGAGGTTGAGCGGAGTCAGATTCACTCGGTACCTTAGTTAGTCATCATGGCTCAGGAGCTTAGCTCCAAACCCACGAAGGGCGCGCTAAAAACCGCGTGTGCTCCAAAATGGCGGAGTTACTAGGGTTACCCGCGTGCTCCGCAACGCGAAGAGGGGTTATTTTTTACCCGTGGGCCGTGGGTATTGGGTGGTCTGTGTCGATTTGGTTGGTATCCATTTTGTTCAATTGCTTTTTGACGGCCAAAACAAAAAAGATACATCGCATCGAGGTGCCCGTGTCGTATTATCATGCGTTCTACCTAAGAATGATTCGAAAACTGGCGTGAAGTCTTTTGAGGGCCATCGATGAATTTCGCTAAAAATGACAATGTAATGGTTTGGAACATTTACATTTTTAAGAATACTGTTGCTTATAATGTAAAAATGAAGAGTGAATATTGGACAGAATTGAATGCTCTATCCAATGGTACCATATTCAATTGCCAAAGGTATCAGGTTATGCAGCAAACCCCGTGTGATTAATAAAGTGGCACAAAATTGACAAACACCATTTTCTCCTGTGATTGGCACCACCTTGATTTGGATCAATCAGCTTTTCACAATTTTTATATGAGAGGCGGTACCTTTCTCTTGCAAATAGGCGTTGATTCAACTCGCTCCATTAAACGGTCACCTAAAAATAAAATTAATTCCAAAATCCCTCAAAAACCGCAATTTTTCCAATAAAAGTGCCCTCTCCGGTGCACGTGGCGCGTGCTATCCTCTGCATTGCACACCATTCAATAGCCCGTTCAATTCTGTACACGATGCTGTTTTCCCCGTGCCGGTCGGACCCCTGGTCACCAAGATATTGCACGGGAACTGGACCCGTGTCGGCCAAAATTAGCCGTTTTCGCCCGATTTCGCACGCCGATTTATACATGTAAAGTCTATGACGCGAATTTGCACTTTTTGAGCACGCGCCACGCGCTCCCTATCAATCCGATCGAGCTGAGACACCTCAAAGGCACGTCGCGCATCCTTGATCTATAAGTTGTGCAAATTTCACCGGGCTAGGTGCAACGGTCTGGCCTGTAGTCCACGCAAAGCAGCACCAAGTCGGGACCTCGGTAACGGACAGACGCACCCTCCTCAAATAGTAATATAGATTCACCCGAACCACGATGCATAGTTTAGTACATTTAGTTTAGAGGACAGTGGCCCGGGTGGCAGACGGGTAAAAGGCTGGGAGACGTCCCGGCCGACCACTGGTCCTGTAGAGTAGAGTAGAGATCTGGAGGGGAGGTAACGAAGGGCCTACAGGACCGGCCTAAGCCCTCCTCACAATCGTTTGCACAGTATGTTCTTTTACTAAGCTAGAAACACTAATTAGAAATAGTTCCTGCAACATCAAGAACAATAGGGAAGGCTTGAAGTGAATACAATAATCTAAACGGTTTTGTAATCCATGTGAAGACACTTCTAAAATTGCCTGTAGAAATATTAAAGGCAAAAGTTCAACTTTTTCACAAGACGGATGGCTATAAACCTATTCAACGTGTGACAACTCAGCCGGTATTTCGTCGCCTACAGCCCAGCTTTCCCTAGTGACCGATAGAGGCGCTGCTATCGATGTCCGCCCGTGCCGCCTAACGATCGATCACCTTACAATAAATGGTAAACATTGGTTTCGTGGCGGGTAGGTACGGAGAAACATGGAGTGGGAAGAATAGGAGCATGATCGACCTATTTCAATGTTATCCTTTACCACTGCGTTAGAATGGTAACGGAGTCGTTACCATTCAAGAATGTGAGCTGACCTGAGGTGACCTGAGCTGACCTTTGCGCCGTCGCGGGGTGACGCCGTCTGAAGCACGGCCTCAACTGAGAACGTCCCGCTGCCCTGCATCGGTACCGCTGTGAACACTTCGTCTGACACACCTGCAGGATAAAGAGAAAAAGTGTGATCACCAGGGGCTGCTGTATGGGTTATCCAGCTATTTGAAAGATTTTGTCACAGGCTTGCGAGTGAGAAAAAAATAACGCACTCATAGACGCATAGCACATAGGGCAGCCGACACACCCCTAAGTACCTAAATCTTAATAATAAAACATATACCTTCCATTCAAATAAAAGCCAAGTTAGTTAAATTTACACATTGCTCTAGTCTAGCGCGGTTAGTTCGCACTCGTGTGCGCGAAATTTCTTTTACTACGCATGGTAAATGACCCTTGGAAACAGTATCTCATTAGGCGTATGACTGGTGACACACGGACAGTATCAATAAATAACTCTGACTGAGACGAAGAGCAGATCTGCGACACTCCGACACCACATGGCTGGCATGCTGGAGTGGGTCCATACGCGTTTGGGATCATATTTACAACGACTGGTATGCGAATTACCACCCGTAGGTACCCGAGCTAAGCACGGTAGCACATTACGCTCACCAGAACAAGGCACTTAGTTTCACGTGTTGAAGAGCGACTATGTCTCCGACTGACCTGCCAGCTCCAGGAGGCCCCGTCGGATGTCTTTGACCGTCGATATAAAGGCGGCGTCCCGCGAGCCCAGGTCGCGCAGCATGGCCTGTCGCACCTCCAGCCGCGTGTTCAGCGGGCCCGGTGTGAACAGACGCTTATCTTCTGCAACATGAGAGCCGGGAGGTGAATATCTGCGCAGGCATTCCCTGGGCTCGGTGTGAGGAGAAACATTTATTAACTGCAATAGCTAAATCACATTTTGACCACATTTTATCGCTCACAGCATTAAAAATGACGATGTTAAAAAACGTGAAGTCATTGTGACATTTGTGCTGATAGCCATCCCGCATTCCGGCTCCTCACCTTGGGGTGTGCTGGCCGATTCGTCACCTGCCTCCATGTTGCCGTGTTAGGAACAATGCCGAATTCACCCCTCAGCCAAGACTGCAGTCCGATCGACTGACCACTTGCGATTGACGACTGCACGACCGGCTGCAGGAGCGATCTTCCAAATACTAACCGACCATCTCGCATTGGTTTACCCGCAGATGCCCCCCCCCCCGTCTGACCGTCCACCAATCAGTCTCACACACGGACACATCCGCGCGGCCAGAGCAAGGCCAGAGACCATTTGATACGTGCCAGGACCCTGGAGCGTAACAGCCAGGTTCGCTTTTCTTCTCGATACGAAATGGTTTGTTTATGAAGGTGTGAGACTCTTTAGAGGTCATGTGTGCCGATATATGTCATGAAATGACATTCATTGGCATTGGAATCCTTCAGCAAAAAGAAAAAAAAACCACATGGAGCCTATCCGTCGTCGATTATATCAAGGCAATCGCGATACGAAAGCAACTTCTGTCGGCCCGTCCTCTCGATGATCAAGTGACTAAACGCCGTGCATAGACGTGTTACATAAGGGACAATGTAGCAACTGAGATGAATGATGATTGCACAACCGGTACAGATGAAATGTTTTCGGCAATCCTCCAACCTATACTTCAATGGCCATGTTGTAATAAATGCCAGACGTACGAATTTATTTCGTCGCATAAAACCCTGCAAAATAATCGTTTACGCAGTACCAAATGGCTGCCGTTCTAAAAATGAAAAAAACGTGTACAATTCGTGACAAAGATTATCTCTTTCGAAAAAGAGTTGACACCCAAAAGTGCATTGCCATCCGGTTCCATCGATATATCTATAGGTGTAATGTCTGATACAACCTGTATCTGTAGGTATTTAGGGTAGCAGGCATTGCAATCCTGGGTAGGACAGATTTTCCGATTATCAGAAAGGACTATGGCGTCCTGAAGAGCGATTCCGGGCGTTCCTATGCAACACATAAAATCGCAGTTACGTTCATATTTCATGTTCGCATACTCGCACTAAGTAAGAAGTAAAAAGTCTTCGGACTTTCTCCTATAGTTTTTACTGAAATGCGTCATAAATACAACGCACACGGCACATGTATGGAAGCGTATAGTAAGAACATTAGGTACATTTAAATGGCTTCCCTAGATTCTCAGATAAAAAATCACTTTCTAGTCGAATTCGAATAATAACGAACAACATATATACGTCCTAATATCATGAGTGCATACCACATTCGGGTGTATAAAAACTACCTTGTTAAAATTGCTTCCGCTCCATCGGTCATTGGGTCGTTTTTTCATTTCACTGCACTCTGGCGCTGTTATCGGCCGCGCGAGAGGCGCCCTTCTCGCGGCCGATAACAGCGTGCCGTAGGTGCCGAGCGGTCACTTGCCGTGAATAGTCGATATGTGGCACATTGTGTGTACCGTGCCGGAGCGATAGCACCGCGGGCCGATAGGGCAGGGAGATTGTGCAGGACCAGCCAGGTAGGGCATGTGATGTGACCGGGACATGTGACCGAGGAGTGACACAGGTGAACATCGCAACACGGGACACAGGTGTGAGCAGTGAGTCACACGGCGGAACTGGTGAGCATCATCCCAAGCGAAAAACAGGTAAACACTAAACAAGTGGGAGGCAAGCAAGTGCGAAAACTTGCCGAAAACAGCAGTGTCATACCAGGCGACACTGCTGTGAGTCAGCCAAAATAAATATATAAAAGTGCACTTTAACTGTAAACTGTTCCTGTCTTTCTAGTTTTATATCTATTATACACAGCTGTAATACATATTCTGCAAGCGGAGGACCCAACCTTCCTCACCGTTGTCCGTTTCGCCGCTACTTTAGCAATAAAGCTTCGCGAAAAAAAATAGAGCTTACCCTGACCTTGACCTGAAGCCAATTCAGCCTGTTCAAAACAAAAATCGTCTCGTTGCAATAAAACAAAAAATGATGACGGCTAAATATTTACTTTTTGGCCATTTCTGACTTCGCTAGTTGACCCAAGGCAAAAAATCGTTACAATATTTATCTGTGCATCGTAATGACATAATAGCTCGTACCGAATATTCCGCAAAGTCCTAGCTCAACTTGATTGTGAAAGCGAAAGGCCCCTCACCTTATCGGTGGAGTCAGGTTTGTACGTAGATCCGATCTGTACGGCGAGAGGCAAACCGTAGCACTGAGATCCAATTTAGCGATGCATCTTCTAATTAAAATGTTTAAGTGCCTATCCATTATCTTACATAGGTACTGATAATATTTCAGATAATGATGCAGATAATGATACGGTGCTTGGCTGCACTCGTGCTTCTGGCGGTCTCCGCTAGATGTCAGGCGGCGAAACTGCTCATCTACAGCAGCGACCTGTTCGGCCACTACGTGCCGTACAACGAGTCGCTGTACGACTGTCCTCTGAAGCCTGTCTCGAGGAGGGGCCTGTTTCCTCTGACGATGCAGCTGGAGGGGGAGGAGGACGGATTGCTGGCCCTGGAGGAGGAGATCGTGGAACAGTGGCTGCCCTGGGGCGACTGTGGGGTCGGTGGCGTGCCCCGGTAAGTACCTAACATCTTTACACAAACTCTAAAAATATCGAACGGTAGTTGTTGCGTAATATCCATAACCTTTATCAGCTTTCGCATTCTGAGATTACTAAAAATATGTATGTACAAGAAAAAAATACTTTTTTTAAAGAAATTTTACTTATGTAGCTTCAAGGACGGAGTATTCTGGCTGCGAGCCAATCACCTCAAAACCTGTCTAATCGAACCCGTGTCCCCTTCCTCCTCCTCTGATGTCCCGTCGGGCGGCTGGCAGGCTGGTCGGCCAGCTGTCCACGTTCTTTGAGCCGGCTACCGAGAAGTACACCCTGGTGACTGGTGGCAACATCCTGGGTGACGGGGACTGGGAGTTGCCGGCCAACGTGTCGGCCGCCGCCCTCGCTGCCGTCCAGTTCGATGTCATGGTCAGTCAGCGGTGCTAAGGGGCGCGCTGAGGGGTCAGACAGGGGTGCTAAGGGGTGCATAAGGTGTTGAGGGGTGCTGAGAGGCGCTGAGAGGTTATTCAGGGGTGCTGAGGGGTGTTGCTGGGTGCTGAGGGGTGCTGAGATGTCAGCCAGGGGTGCTTAGCAGCCCGCCAGGGGTGCTGATGAGTCATTCAGGGGGTACAGTGGTGAGTCTGTACCCGCTGAGGAGCCTGTAAGGGGTACTTTATGTATCGTGATGACAACTATATAGCATTGGCGGTGGGTGGCTTCATCCTTCATAATCATTCATTTATGATTTATTGTGAAGCGATTCATAGACGGCAGAGTTAAAGCGATGCACGGTGATTCTGTTCTCAGGGCCTTGGCCCGGGAGAGTTCCTTCGTGGAACACCGTTCCTGAGGGAGTTTCTGACAACTATCAACGACAGCGCGCCGGTAAGTGCGATGGTGAACGGACTATAAGAAGACGATACTCTTAAACTTCATGAATGATGCGTGGCTCCGGTTACATTATTGAAATGTATAATATTTGTATTTGACAACAGCAGACACTCCACAGACTATTCGTGGCTAAAGGGGTCATTAATGTCACGGTAAAAGACAGGTTAAAGTGAAACTCGCATACAGTCGCACACACACACATACACACACACAGACAAAGGCTTCATCACTCTATCGCCGGAAAAATAAAATAATATTCCACATTACTGCACACGTTGATACAGTTTTGCAAATATTATGAACGGTAAGGCATTTCTTTTTCAATCTATACGGAGTTTGTTCGTGGCATTGCATGAAATTTGACGTTTCGAATTTTTGCAAAGATTTGTGTCTCCTGGACACATGACGAAAGTAATACTCTCGTATTTCAGACCACTGTCGTCGCCTGCAACGTCCAGTCGGACCTCCTGGGTGACCTGATTAAACCGTATGTCATCATTAACGGTACCCTCTTTGTCGGTGTAGTCGACCCTGTAGTTGTACCGGTAAGTAAGTATACTCATATGTACTCGGACGAAAGCATCACCTTTTGTCTTTCAAATTTAGCACGGGTGTCTTAGATAGGTGGATTTCGGTTTAACCCTATTCCTGGCGGGCTCCGCCGGGACAAGAAACTGGCGGGGGGGGGTCCGATTCGGCCCCCCCCCCCCTTCAGATCTCAAAAACTACACATCGCAGCGACAAACGGCGAACAGCGTTTGATAGGTCGTTTAAAGATCTACAACTTTTACATAAAACATTTTCAGGTCAGGTCAATATTGAGGTCACCAGAGGTCATCAACGATAAAATGTTTTGGAATTAGTTACCTATATAACTTTTAAACTAAGAAACATAGAGACATAAAACCAATACATTTTTTGTTGCTCTCGCCGAGGCGATGCGAAATAAGTATGTGATGACCTTCACAGGTCAATTTGAAATTTGACCTGAGGTCAAGGTCAGGTCATTCATCAATGAGGTTGTGGGGTATGGTCATGCTGCATACCAAACGACGCGCCTTGACCAGGCGAGCAGTTTGGTACCACTTACAAGTCTTTAGCACCATCATGTCGTGATTTATTGACAGAAAAACGATTTATGACGTCACATGACCTCAGATGACCTTTGCCGGTGCCCCTGTCAATTAGCGGCACCAGGATCATCACCGATGAGATAATCTTCCATAATACTGAAATAATTGGGTGGTTTTGACTCGTTTACACGAAGCAGGAGGCGTTTCAATATTTTCCCATAGGCTTGCAATGTAAAGGTCACGAGTCTGGCCTGACCTCAGGTCACAGATACGAAAATTCTGAGATATACAAATTGCACATACTGGTACCCTAACTAAAGCCTGAAGAGAAGAAATTGATTGGTCAAAAACTCTAGCTATGGCGTGATTGCAAACTTTTCTGAGGTAGGGTCACCAAACCGCCTCTGGTGACCTGACCTGAGGTCAGAGCAACTCAAAATTTTCAGAAATGTTGCGTAAAAGCCTTTTATGAAAAGTCAGAAAATTTGAGCTTCCTAGCTCAAAGCATTTGGGAGAAATAACCAAAAAATCTCAGGGGGGGCTCCTGACCCAGTAAACATGCCGACGTCGGCCCGACGTCGGCCGACGTCGGGGTGACGTCGGCAACTCGGCATCGGCATGCCGACGTCGGCCCGACGTCGGTCCAACCTCGGCACGACGTATGTATGTATGTATGTATTGATCTAAAATCCATCCACATAACATGGTTTTTCAGGATTCAGCGTCATGCACAATACAGTAAAATGCAAGAAGGCAATAGGCACTGGCAGATAAAATAAGACAACTAACTGCACTAAAACCGGAATAAAACACAGCACCCCAAGATCTCAGGCTTCGCTGGCCGCCACTGCGCGGCGAAACGCGGTCAGCGTGGGCTGCTCCCTGACGGCCGGCGGCAGCCGGTTCCACGCGGCAGCAGCGCGGTAACTAAACGTTCTCTGTGTGGAAGAGAGCCTACACTTCTGCAGCTCCAGGGCGCCAGCTTCTACAGAGCGTGTGACCCGGCCAGACACCTCAGAGCGGGACACAAACATGCGGCGGATGGAGAGAGGGTAAGCTGGTATGTGGAGCGCCTTCCACACCTTCAGTAGGTCCCTCTCCCACACCAGCCGCTCCACTCTGGGCCAGCCCAGGGATGCCAGAGCCGGCCCGATCCTCTCCCGACGCCGCACGCCTGTCACGATCCGAGCACTGAAGTTGATGAGTTTTTGGATCCGAGTGAGTTGATTTTTTGTGGTTCCGCCCCACACCGAAATGCAGTACAGAATGTGAGGGAACACGTGGGTCTCAATGAGTAACTTTAGCGTTTCCTGGTCAAAATGGTGGCGGAACTTGGAGAGGGATATGAGGAGGGCATTGCACCTCCTGACGATGTGACTGATGTTGGCGTCCCAGGCCAAACACGAGTCGACAGTCACCCCCAACAATTTGATGGTTGGTGACGGTTTTAAGACTGACTCAGCTATGCAGATATGGAAGTTTTAGACCTTGCTGAGAGTCTGGCGGGTTCCGATGAGAATGAAGTCGGTCTTTTGAGGGTTCATTTTAAGAGAATTTGAGCTAAACCAGTGTTTCATGACATCCAAGGAGTTTTCGACACGTTGTTTTAGTGATGCTAAATTTTGAGGGTCAGGACGCGAGTGATCGAGCAGCTGGGCATCGTCAGCATATGCGATCATCCGACAGTCCGGTAGATGGCAGTGCAGGTCGTTCGTTAGCAGGCTGAAGAGGATCGGCCCGGGACCGGCAGGACTGTTCTGCCGCCCCTGACCAGCTGCCCGCGGCCGCCAAGATAACTACCAAACCAGGTCGGGTCGATCCCGTACCACTCCAGCTTGCGCAGGAGGACGCCGTGGTCGACGCTGTCGAAGGCCTTGCTGAGGTCAGCTGCCGTGACTGAGGAGACCTCTCCCCGCTCTGAGTTCTGGCTGATCCATTCGACAGCGTCGAGCACGGCGTCCTCCGTGCTGTGACATGATCGGTAGGCGTACTGGTTGTAAAATAAAATGTTGTGGTCCGATAGGTACCGCGACAGTTGGTCACACACAACCTTTTCAACAACTTTTGACAAGTGAGATAAAAGTGAGATCGGTCTGTGGCTAGATGGTTCGTGTACATCACCGCGTGGCTTAAGGATCGGCACCACCTCGGCAGTTTTCCACGCCTCAGGGAAAACACCTTTGGTTAGGGACACATTCACAAGTCGCAGCAGGTGGGGGCCAATCACATCAAAACAGCGCTTCACCGCACCGAGTGGCACCCCGTCCAGCCCCACCGCCCCAGACGAGTTCATCCGCCTCACAGCTCGCGCCAGCTCCGGTAGGGTCGCAGGCTGGAGCCGGAACGCCGCTGAGACTACTATAGGCGGCCGCGGGGCTAGGCCCGCAGTGACGTCATCATTCAAGTCGGCCGCGATGCGAGAGCCCACCGACGCGAAGAACTCGTTGAATCGGTCAGCGCGGGCCCGCTGCTCGGCTGCACTCTTGTCTGAAGTCGAGTGTGCTGAAGCGGAGGGCGCCAGGTAGAACCTCCTGAGGCTGGACCAGAACTCCTTGCGGTCAGAGGCCAACGTCGGCTGGATGTCGGATATGCCCGCATGTACCGACGTCCAGCCGAGGTCCAGCCGACGTCGGGCCGACGTCGGACCGAGATCAATTGCTGAGGTTCAGCCGACGTCGGGCCGACGTCGGGGCGACGTCGGACCGACATCGGCCGCTGTTTCGACCGTTAAAATAATATAAAATACATGTTTCATGTTTCATAAAGAGCTTCTGTATTCAAAATATCCTCAGGAAACTCAAATCTTCCTCCACGCCGCAACCCCCTGATCCGGACTGGACGGGAAACTTTATCCCATTTGGGATTGCCCGTAAGCCGAGCTCGCCCGTAGCCGGGTGCGGTGAGTGCTTGGGGGCTGCTCGGCCTATCCTTTGGTCAGGCTCAGCCCCGGCAACTCACCAGGGCCGGGCCCAGTTCATATAGAAAGGCCAGTCGGCAAGTGTCACTTTGCCAAAGTGCCACTTATCAAAGGGACACTTTGGGAAACGTTGGTGCAGGTGTGTAACTGTAAGAGTGGCTATATGAATCCATATTCCATTGTGGGGTCGCCCTTTCCAGTAAGTGTCACGTACAACAGCAATGGGACCAGGGACTATGAACTGGACCCAGGGTGCTCGCCAAGAAGACCAATGTCTCCATCCTATCATCCTTCCGGCTCTGAAATGGTCTTGTCAGACCGAAAGGGCATAACCCAACAAAACAAACTATATTCGGTATCTGGCTGCGTGGTGTAGTGGTTAGCGCACTAACCTCCCGTTCAAATGCCACGGGGTTCGAATCCCATCGCTGGCTGATGCTTTTGGCGTAAACATGCCGACGTCGGCGACTGGGTGGCTCAAATCCCGCCGCCGCGCCGGTTGATATTTTTGGCGCGTTGTTCCAATAAACATGCCGACGTCGGCCCCGTCGGTCCAACGACGAACGATCTCGTCAACCTCGGCAAACGACCTCGGCCCGACGTCGGCTCGACGTCGGCTGGACTTCGGCTGGACGTCGGAACATGCGGGCATATCCGACGTCCAGCCGATGTCGGGCCGAGGTTGAACCGACGTTGGGCCGACATCGGGCCGAGCCTCGGCCCGACGTCGGGCCGACGTCGGCATGTTTACTGGGGAGGCCCCCCCCCCCGCCAGGAATAGGATTAAGTTAGATGTTGAAAACTGAAGAGCCAACCCACTAACGCCTTTATGTCAAGCTGGTCTGTTGACACGGTTCAATGGATTACTCCTTATGGATTGCTATAGGATTTTAATGCTACTCAAATTTAATATCAACTTCGTAGTGTTCCTCCCCACCCATGTCCCTACTAGGATCGCGGTTATGACCACTGTGCGTCACTTTACAGGACTTTGTCGCCCTGGACACAGACCTTCAGCTGTCGAATACAAGCTGTGTCCAGGATATAATAAACAAACAAAGCAAAAACAATACGATACCCGTCGTTGTCGTCGGTAAGTTGCGAATAGGGTACATGAGCTCCCAAAGGTTGCATGGTCGGAATCGCACACATCGCGTACGCTTATACATGAAAATGTTTTAGCCGCTCTTCACTGCTTGGGTGAAGGTACTGTTGCCTTCGCAAGACGGTAATGATATGTAAATCACTGATTTCACGAAGAACCACTACCTATAGTCCCTTTTTGATGTTAGGCGTACGATATCAATTTTTGCCATTTATTCCCACATAATTCCTGAAGAAAGACCGCAATATCTCACTGACGATCCGCAATCGTTCTTTACGTCTTGTAAACACATAACGGTTTTTTTTCGTCAGGCTCAGCTGCATCTCTGGACTCCAGCATTTTCGATGCCACCGGCGTCACAGCATTCGTTATATCTGGTAAGCATATCATGCTTCGTATGTGCAGGCTGCGGCGGTTTCTGAAAAGTGATAAGCTGATTAAAAAATACAATGATGACATGACTGAGAGAGAGAGGAAGGGGAGAGAGGGAGAGAGAGAGAGAGAGAGAGAGAGAGAGAGAGAGAGAGAGAGAGAGAGAGAGAGAGAGAGAGAGAAAGAGAAAGAGAGAGAGAGAGAAATACCTGAAGCCTTAGAGGGCATCTTACGGATTTGGGGGTTGCAAAAGATACACCTATACCTGCATTCCCATATCTTTGGATAGGCTGCAGACTGCAGCCCCTTTTCAGCTCGGCTACAGATTTGTCCATCGTTTTCAGGTCTCCCGAAGCAGGATAAGCAAAAGGCTTTGATGGCACAAGACCAAAAGGCTAATAAAACGACGCTCGTCACTGGCGGCTATGGTGAGTTCTTTCGCAACTGAGCCATTTACTGCATGGAAGTGTAACCCTCGCCGGCACAGGGCACTTATTGCCATTTATTCCCACATCATTCCTGAAGATAGTTGATAGTTGATGTTGATAGTTGATGCAACCCGCCTAAGGGTTTTTGCGAATAACTCGCGTAAAAAGCGGCCGATTGCGACGAAACTTTCAGTAACCTCGCATTGATCAATTTTACACCTACCCTGAAAATTTCATGACCCCGACCCCAATGACCTTTGACCTGTGACCTCTTTTCCGAGACCATGTTTGGCCGGAATCGCGATTCGGCGTATGTCGGCTCGCATTAGCCGCGCGTTTGCAAGCTTTTCGTGGTTTCAAACGTTCAAACATGTGATTTGATGTTGCTCCCATACATAAGGGTGGGTGTCAAGGTCACATGAAGGTCAGGTCAGGTCACTGACCTTTGGTGACCTCAGGTGACCTCGGTTCACTTTTTCGAGTTTTACATGTTTCTAGGCTAGTTTTTGGAGCTGCATTCGAATTTAGCAACACTGAAAACAAGTTGAAAGAACGTTATGCAAAAGCATCTTAAAATATTCCACACTTAGGTTTTTTTGGTATTAGGGTAAACTGGCTTAGAGGCGAAGCAGAACGTCTGGTTCATGAAGAACACACACAGTGTTTCACATAGACCGAAGACACGTGCTGCTTCTTCGCGTGCAATCTTAGTGGCCCCAGGGGGGCTTCAACTCGACCAACACCGGTTCTTCTTCGTTCTCCCTAGTCACGTGATATTACGTCACACCAAACGCGCGAAAGATAAACCCTTTGAAGGTTTTGCACGAACTAGCATCGGGTTTAAGAAGAAGGAGTTGTGGTCAGGGGTGTCGTTTTCCGAAAATGATTGGTAGGGCCCAAAGGCGGCGGCCGGACATATGTGACGTGGATTACAAGGTAGGGTACCCCCAAATCTGTCTTTTTCATCGGATTTCGGCCACTTATTTTTTTCGCCTTGGTCATTGACACGACAAACCAAAATCTAAAAAAAAAATGCGAAGTCTGAGTCCTTACCGAGCCCCATGCACAAAACGTGCACTGTGCAGTTATACAGGTAATAGTGTCGGAGGGATATACGTCATACTAAAAGAGGCCCACGCCGACGGCTGTGCTGAAAGGGGCCAGGAACGGCTTTGATGGCCCGCCCCAAGCCGAATGAAAAAGACGGCTGCGGGGCTTTGAAGACCCACGCCAATTGCAGGATTCGACAACTAACGAGGTCTCGAGACACCACGATAGTTGGAAAGACCTGCTTGCCAAATTAAAAGGATGACAGTACGAGCCGGCGTTCAGCAAGTTACATGCCCGACCATGAAGAAGCAGAGATACAGCATCGACTTATTAGAACAAAAAGCTCATTTATTCAAATAACCACCGCTAAGACAAACACATTTCGCGCAGCGCTTCGGGAGAGCCCTCAAGGTCTCCATAATCAAATGGGTTTTGGACCCATCTCACGTCCAAGACGGCTGCTCTCGTCTCCCTGCAGTCAGCGAAGTTGCCACTGCTAATTTCCTTATGTTGGGGAAGAGGTGTCAACCAGAGAGTGCAGGGTGCGGAGAATAAAGAAGAAGCGCGCCATTTGAACATTTACGAAGTAGTTTTGGTGCCTTCGTAACATGTTACGAAGCTGTCAGAGGCGGTTGACACGTATTACGAATACCCGTCACAACCCCTACCGGTTGACCTGACCTGACCTGACCCGACCTGGTCTAAATGCTTAAAGATATCATGTCTGATCAAAACTAACACGATATTAGTGATTAGCACCCCGGAAAACCACATAGCAGCCACACTTTACGACTTTCTCACAGGTCCCGATTTTCCCGGTTTTCGGGTCATTGACCTGACCTGGAAGGTCACCCGATGACCTAGGACCTTAAAATTTGGTATCATCGGCTTTCTCTCGTGACGGGCAGCACGCTCGTTTTTTTTTTTTTCGCGAAGCTCTAGCTCGATCAGGGGCCAAACGCGAGGGGGTCGTACCTTGTGCCGTCGAAGGACGCAAAATGGCCTGTGCCGGCGAGGGATAAGACGCATGCGGGATGATTTCCATCTACATATTCAGCTTCTATCCGTCGCAACAGATTGTCCGTCGCCACGTGCTGTCTGATTGTCCCTTGGAGATAATGTCTTATGTCCACTCCGACAGGATCTACGATCGGCATCTTCAACATGACCAACCCGTCCGCTGCTCCGAACGTTACCACTCTGGACGGTGACGCTCCTGAGGACAGTGGAACGGCCAACACCACCGCACAGCTGCAGCAGGCGGTGAGGGCGTGGGATAGGCATTGGACTGTTGACTGAACTGTGGACTGGACTGTGAACTGGACTGGACCATTGACTGAACTGGACTGTGGACTGTGAACTAAACTGTGAACTGTGGACTGGACTGTGGACTGATCTGTAGACTGTACTAGAGTAGACTGTACTGGACTGTAGATTTGACTGGACTTTGGACTGGATTGTGAACTGACTGTTACAGCATCAAGAGATGACTGCGGAGTTTCGGTACTTTTTTAGGAACGGGGGTATGTCATCGACGCAGAGCAAGACGATGAATTTACTTGATACATTGACTGATGCTTTATGAATCAGTAAGAATACCTTATTGACTCCAAGACTGTCCTAGATCTAGCGTAGGTAAGTTGGCAAACCAGTGGTCCTACCAGGCTGTTTTACTAAACAATCTGGACTAAGTTGATAAAACTGTCAAAACTAACTTATATTTCAATCCATTTCATCTCTGCTCCTGCCAGGTGGCCGATTTCTACGCCACCAAGGTCACCTCATACTACGAACTGACGTCGGACAAGTGTGACGGCACCGAGTGCAGTCTCGGTGACGTCATCTGTGACGCCGCGCTGATTGGTGCGCTGCTCGACGGCCGGATCACGCCTCGGCCAATCGCCGTCTGGCCCGGACAAAACCTCACCGGCAAAATACCCAAAGGTTAGACAACGAAAGCACTCTGACTCAACATTTCTGTAAACCTACAGAAATGTCTGTAGAAACATAAATATACATATCTATAATAAATGCATAGAAATCGAAGCGTAAGTTAAAAAAGGTAGATGTCGCGTCTCTTTTAGCGACGTTATCAAGCCAACAAAAGTCTCTTCTTTGTTTTTCACTGACATACAATGAATATCGTATCAGTTGTTTTATTCAACGCTCGCTTCTATTCCAGGCAGCCTGACGGTGTCGCAGCTCTACGCCACCATACCTGACGAGCAGGTGGCCCTGGCTAACGCCTCTGGCGAGACGGTCATCAAGCTCTTCTCCCGCGCCGTGGAAGACATGACAGTGGACGCGTCGTCATCGAAAACCTTCCTTCAGGTGTCCGGTTAGTCGGCGACATTAGGTGGTATTCATTATTCAGGAAGCGGATATCTAGTTCGTTTGGAATGCTCTGCTTTTACATAGTACTTTGTGATAATCATTAGAAATGTGATGCAAAACTGTCGGCATTAACACTAAGGAAATAAAAATCCGGCTATCTTAGGAGAAAACTACAAAAATAAGAGGCCGGAAATCATTTTATATATCATTTACTGGAAAAAATACGTCATAATTCTTCTCGGAGCAGGCCTGGCCCGACCAGGCCCAAATCGGTCCTGGACTGGCGACTGCTTCTCTTGGCCTCGACTGCCTTTTTGACCTGACTGGATCTAATATTGATATCCAGACCGCTCGTGCTGACCTCTCGTCTGCCGTTCGTTTTGACAGGTGTCCGGGTGACCTATGACCTGGACCTGGCGCAGCCGTACCGCGCCAAGTACCTGATGAACCTGTGCCTGAACTGCACCCCGCAGGAGTACCTGCCCATCTCTAAATCCTGGAACTACACGGTATGGTAGAGTACCTGTCCATCTCTAAATCCTGCAACTACTCGGTATGGTGTTTTCAGCTGTTTTCAGCTGTTCGCCACGCCACGTGTGGATCGCTATGATAACAAATACATACAACTACACACATAATACACCCATCCGTACAGGTTTGACGATTGCCAGGCACGGAAAAGCATAACACTATTTTACTTGAAACGTGCCGGTGAATGAGTCGCCGTTAGAGGCAAATTGCTGGAGGTGCCTAAAATGATTTGATGTCGAAAAGCCGTTTCGAACTATCAGATGCGAGTCAGTGGCTCAACTTGGTATTGTGACATCAAATCTGTGGCTGCCACAGTACAATTACTCGCATCTTTATTCGCAGCTGTGTAAACTTGTAAAGAAATTTTTATTGACGTACCCGTTCCACAGGTCTGATACTATGCATCATCCAATCTCATTGCATCTCTTATTGCATCACACCGTCGCATATCCCGTAGCATCGAATCTGTCCGCTGTGTTTACCGACAATCTCCGATGCCTGTCAGGTTGCGCTGCCTGTGTCGATGGTGGGCCACCCGTACTGGAAGGACATCACCGACGAGTTCACCGGACTCCTGGTCACCGGTGAGACAGTCGGTGACGTCGAGGAACAGTCAGTGTGCTGTGTGCATGCTGTATTCATTATCTAGATCAAGAGCGTCATCACAAAATCGTAAATGCTCCAAATGCCTTTCGAAAACGTGCAACAGCATAAAATAGCATATATTCAGCATGTGCTGGAGTATGCTATTTTCTGGGCTCAATCATGATAATCAGCATTTATGTCAAAGCATTGTAAAAAAAAACGCTGATGCTTCAAAATTCATTCGTTTTCTGCCCACAGCTGTGCTGAGTGAAGCCCAAGAACTTACTTAGCGTAAACATTCCGTACTATTAGTTCACCAACTGACCACCAGAGGCGCTGCTGCAGGTTTCTCGGCCCGGGACGCTATCTCGGCGAAGGCGCAGGTGACTGGCCGGATCCTGTCGCCGGTGGGAGACAGAATCGACTTCACACACATCGCTCCGGACGTCGATCCCACCGACGACACGTTCATCGCCGTGCTGAGCACCGTGATCGTCTGCATGGTGGTGTTCGGTGAGAAGGGTCGCGGGTTCGAAACCGGGCGCGGAAAGAGTTTTATCGTGATAAAATTATTTTATTGAGATAAACACATTTTAACGTGCTCGTCACTATTGCTTTCAAGAGAAGATTACAATAAAATGTATGGAAGAGAACTGACGATTTTTCTATCGTGTCCATGATGACATTCTTGAGATCCAATCGTGTTTATATGCTTAAGCGGACGCTGGACAGTGTATTGTAACGTTATGACTATAGTTGTCCGCTCCGATGGACCGTATTCTTACCAACATATACGCCATTTGCATGCCGATTTATCATTGCTGCCCCATTACCGGGATGTCTGTTTGGCAGGTCTGGGGCTGTTTGGATTCAACGTTTGGTCGCGGCGCCAGAACCAGTTTGGGTCCACCACTGCGCTCCTGCGCTAGGGACACCGCACTAAGTGAAACCATCGCAGCTTATCGGGAGAGTGTCATGTGTTCATTAGTGGTATAAACAATCACGCGCTGTCAATTAATCCTTAATTGTGTTGCATGGTCTGTGATTGCGTGATGCATCTGGATAAGCTTGCTACATCTGGATCTCAGTGTGGCATACATGTTTATTGTTTGTAGATATATTGGACAGGTATGCAGTAAAGAGCCAGAAGCCTACGAATATATTCAAGAAACAATTTTGTATCTAATTGTTTCTTGAATATATTCGTAGGCTACCTACTGGCTGTTTATTGTTTAAGGTCATCATGTCCAGTTGTTCACGCATTGCGTCAGATTTTTCCTGCTAATTTGGAGATGTAGAGTGTGTCAGTATGATTGCTTCTCTATCGAATATCTATTGATCCATCAGTTGTTGCAACTGATATGTGCTACTATACTCTGTTTATTGATCTCATCTTACGCGTAACAACACTGATTAAACTATAAATGGTTTGACAGCAGAGTGCAGACTGATCAACGGGCCGGCAAGTACTTATCATGTAGAATATTCGATTAAAGGGACCCTCCCACCTTAACATTAGTTTTGAGTTGAGATAGCCAAATTGGTGGCCATGGCCTGCAAATACCGGTTTGGACACTCACAACATCGAGAAATGCTTTAATTCGAAGAAATGGAATTTCAAACTTGCAGTTTTCGGATTCTAAGGGGCTAATGCATTGGTATGCCCCCTTAGAATTTGTGACGTCAGCGGAGATCTAACGATTTTTAAATCTTAGACTAAAACCATCGTTAACACGTGGTGGTATACGCTGCTTTGCGCGCAACGTCTGCCGCACTTTAAGGCTGCCAAATTATTGCTTCCAAATAAAGTCGCTAGTAACAGGGAGATCCCAAAAAGTAAACAAAAGTAAAAGCCTAATATCTTGAAAACCAGTGAATATTTTTCGGTGAAGTTTGGTAGATATTCGTTTTCGCTCTTTCTGAACCAAGGGACATCACTTTCATGCCAATTAATTAACTTTTTTGAAGGTGGGAGGGTCCCTTTAAGAACTAAGAGAATATGATTGCATGTAGTGTGAGCATTTATGCGCCTTGAATGTATATCATGTCATCTGATACATCAAATATAATTGCTGAGTGTGCTTTCTCTTAGAAGTGGGAATGTTTTCCCCGCTTTATTTTGTCAATGGCATCAGCACCAAACAATTATAACACTATTGCTTAACAAAACGAAAATGCTAGTAGGAACATCGGATAAGATAAAAACAGCACAGAACATGCGAACCCAAACAATATATTACATAGGCTATCATGTAAGGAAATTATGATTCTGCGACATTTAGTGCTATGCGAGGAACTAATTACAAGCATAGCTCGGTGCATCCCAATTCCCATCCCACGGCCTTTCTAACACGATATAACTCCGCGGCACACTAATTAACGGTGGCTGTAATTACCTACATACTGAACCGCTCATTGGTAATCGTGTGGTTCAAGGCAGCTGGCCACGGATTAAGTGCCACTCAAGGTCATTTATTCAGTTGTGAATACGCATCTACACGTATCTGGATTTTAAAGCAGGGTCTTCATGAGCTGTTAGCAGGTACCTTTTTCAATTTTCAGATTTTAACGATGTTCATAATTTGGTTATAGCCACATGTATCTTCTTTATTTTCCCAAACTCCCTAACGTGAAGAGAAAAATACGCTTCAAATGCGAGGGCATTAGACACAAGAAGAAGGAAAATTAGATAAGTTGAATTTGTATTCGATACTGCAACTACCAAATACTAATGGCCGAAAAAGAGCTGGAACCTGGCTTTCAATTAGGTACGTTAAACGGGCGGGTTAGCACAAAATGAACATTATCTGTAACGCTCCACAATCCTCTACCTGTCAAGGTCACCCGCGGCGACGTGACCTGGTGACCTGAGCGGTGGCGCCCCCTGCTCGGGCGGCGGGCACCAGTTGCAGGCCGGGCGCCGCGGCCGGCGCGGGCGCCATCTGTTGAGGGGCGCCCCGGGCACGGCAGTTGCAGCGGTGGTCGGCGCCCGTCGCCGGCGGCACTGGCAGTCGGGCTATGGCGATGCTTGTGGAAGGGTATACGGGGAAGCGGCTGCGGCCGGACGACGCGCTAGGCCACCCGGTGAGTACCTGAACCAGTGTATGTACAGAGGGGCAGGGGTGTCATGTGTGGTATCATGCAATGCTGTACCGTAATGGATGCGTGTGCTGAGAAGCTGCGAGTTCCTGGGTGTGCTGTGCAGGACCATAGAGCCTCGAGGCACAAGCTCCATGAATGTTGTGTGGTCCCAACGGTACCTTGACGCTGCAAGGTACTGCGAGTGATGGCTGTACCGTGCGGTACCACGTGGCGCCAAGGCGTAACGTTCCGCGAGTGAGAAGCGTTTCCTTCAGTGCGCGCGGCCCACGAGGTATCGCGAATGCGATGCTAGCATTGAGGCATTTACATACCATGAGACAGCTGCAAAATACCGAGATTATCGCATCATGCGCGGACTGGAACCTGGAGTGCTAGGATAATTGGACACTCAAGGATGCATCACTGCAGTTTGTTTGTTTCCGACGTTATCACATGGTACTGGGTACGTGTTGTCGGGAGAACTATGCAATATTTACCGGCGAACAAACGGCTCGTTTTCGACATCCGACGATACTTATTCATCCAAATGCTGTCACATTCGCAAGGTTACGTATTGAGGCCGACCAGCACTCCCCTTATAACGCGAGACTGGCGTCATGCAGGGCTCCCAGTCGCGCACACTTGTGCGGTTACTGCGGGGTCCACAGGTGTTTCCCGTCCCAACAATTGACTCCTCACACATGTGTCACCGAGAAGCGATTTTCCGCTGTGGTATTTGCACAGCCGTCTATACAGTGATATGCATTACGTGCAATGCATAATTCAATACTGAAGGGACTGTGATTCATTTACCTTTGTCCAGTTGCCCACCGGGTGCTGCCCACCTGACCTGACCTTGACCTGATCTGTTCTGACCTGAGGGACGCTGACCTTCCTTAGCTCGGCCTCGGAGGGCCGTCATGATATCACTTTCCGTCGATACAGAGTTGGACCAGGATCGCAAAGATAGGCGTGTGTAACGCCTCAATGTCCTATTCCTGTCATTTCTGTGTCGTTTCTGAAATAAGTGAATAACAAAAAGAACAAATCCAACGATAACCTCAGCCGTCTTCTGAGAGCCACCACAGCACCTCACGGCGTTCCTCGTTCACATACACTGTGTTGCGGCTCCAGCGACCATGGCTTTACTGCACTCGTCACGACCGGGGAGGCACGGGTGCAACGCCCGGCACCGTCCGCCGCCCGGTCCCGTTGCATTAATGGCCTGGCTGGCTGCATAGCTCAGCGGCCGCCCCGGCCGACGCGGCGGGCGGCGATGGAGCAGGGACGCTAGAGGAAGATGCGATGGCCGGTTGTGAATTTGTGCTGGTGAGATGATGCGATGGGCTTGCTGATGGGGAAGTGACAAGGGATGCTGAATGCAGAGGTGATCATGACGACATAGGAGCCAATGGCCGCAGTGCCGATCTAACGATGAAGATGACAGCGGAGATGACGACGAAGAAGGCGATGAAAGCAATAAAACGGCCATGGCGACGGCAATAAAACTGGCGGTAAAGATGGCGATAGATGTTGAAAGGATTGTGAAAAGAGAGAATCCGGTTAACTAGCTCGAACACGGATTAAGCCACTGAAACTTTGTCTGAGACTAGACAGTGTCACTAAACAGTGAGAGAAAAGCGCTGGCGGAGATGTGTGGGTGCATGGTTCAACATCCAGGTCACTTGTTGACCCCAAACACAGACGGCTCACTGTGCCCTCAGGGGTCAGAGGTGACGACCCACGCGGTTGTCTGATGTACCGCGGGTCACTGCAGGTCGCGTGATGCTCACGGCACGTCGGGGTGTTGGTGACCTGGTGTCGCCAGAGGTGCGCTCTGAACGGCTGGTGAACGGGTACAGGGTCACAGCTCACAGTCATCTTACCAATGAGTGAAGAAATAGTCACAGATCACTCATGTTGCATGTTGCCACTTACCGGCCCAATCAGAAATCGCAGCAATAGCTCACCGTTGTCTTGCACTGTGCTGCGATCCATTCCTGGTTTTCAAAATAGCAGGCAGTTACTCCCGGATCTTGAACCACTCATCTCTCGATAAGCCTCACATACCTAAATATCTCATTGGCTCGCTGTGTCTCCTATACCCCACATCACATGCACCGGGACTGAGCATTCGCCCACCCCGGCTCTGTCGCGTCCGGTCTCGATGTCGCGTCCCGTCTCGATCACCGTCCTGCCAGCTGCCGCTTTTCACACGTCGCCGGCGCCGCTCCCGACTGTAGACACGGCACTAATGGTACCGGATGGAGCTCCGGTGCCGCCGGCTGGCGCATCAACACGGAGGCGAGACCCCTTCCCCGGCTGTGTAGAGGGGCGGTGGCGCATCAGAACCCGCCGAGACCCCTTCCCCGGCTGTGTAGAGGGGCGATAGAGCATCAGAATCGGCCGAGACCCCCTTCCTCTATACCCCGCCGAGGGTTGTTATCCAGCGTCCTCCCCAGGTTTGCTGAGGGGTAATTTGTTGTGCTACACTGTTCAGAGAAAATATATACACACGCCCTATTCCATGCCCGACGGAGCTTAATGACTCTGAACGGATTGGACTGTCAATAACCCATTTATAGTCCTTTTCCGGACCTCACACATTATTCCACACACATTATTCAATTTGTCTAGATTTTGTTAGACGAATTTTAGTTAGTATTATTCACAACTGCCGTTTCGGGGCACACTCTTAATACTCTGCCGAGTCTTGTGTCTGTGTTTTAGATCTCCCTGCCACCTATACAACGAACCTAGCTAAATAAACCAACTAACCTACATAGGTAATCTTCCTCCCAACCTAACTAACAAGGCCGTCTACTGCAGCGACCGCGGGCTCCTCCCGGTCAGCCCCGACTCCCGAGTCAAACTTCCCGCAGTCACCCGGGAGCAGCAGCTCTCTCTATTTCCTGCTCTGTGAGCCCTCGCCGTCTGCCGGCTGCAGCTCGCTCCTCGGCACTGTAACGACCACTAGCTGGTGCCGAATCGGTCGCCAGACCCCCGGCCAGAGGGCTAACTGGCGCTCCACTCACACAGGTGGTGGTAAGGGATGAGTTTGAGCAGACCTTGGCGGCCGGCGGGGCAAAACTGATACGTCGTGCCAATCTGAGTGTCAGTGTCGGGAAGCGGTGTCACATCAGGCCAGGTTTCAGTGTCAACTGTCAGGAGTGGTGCCATATGGCGACGCTATATGTCAGTGATTGACAGTCATGAGACATGTTGTCAACTGTCAGACTGTCAGGTCAGGAGGTCAGTTGTCAGCAAGGTTTGACTGTCAGATGCAATAGGTGGCTAAATTAGGCAGATCTTATGCAGACCTGGCAAGTGGCAATCGCATGTATTTTGAACACAATGCTCATACACTACATATACAGATGTCCTCGAGTAGCCACAGAGCCCCGATGCCCCTTTCTGCAGGATCAGCCTCTGTTACGACCGTGCGAAATGTTGCCGTCCATTTCCAGCATAGTATCTGGGCCAACGACCAGCGCTTCCGCCGCACTGTCGCGAATAACTCATCGTCGGACTGCAGGCTCGGACAAATCGACAGCGTTGACACAGGGCCGAGTTCGGATACGGTCCTACATGGATGGCTCTGTGAGGGTTTAGTATATGTGTGCCGCTGTCGATCGCAACTGTAACCGGAAAAGAAGGGTCTATTTCTGTACCAGAAAAGCAATTTATTCTATTGACATGGAACGGCTGGCAGAAAGCGAAACGGCGCTTCAGGAAGGAATCAGAGCAGGAGTTCTTTAACCCTCGCCCTGGCAGGGCATTTTTCATAACACGGCCTGGCAGGGGGGGGGGTCGATGCGACCCCCCCCCCCTCGCGATTGGCTCCTATGGCACCTAGAAACATCAAATTTGGTAGGTAGGTGGGCCCCCTGCTGGAGTTCTCGCCCCTGTGCAAATTTGGTTGTTCTAGGTCAATATTTAGGGGGGTTTTGGGGGGTATAAATGTAAAAATTTTGCTAAAAACAGGTCAAATGTTTTTCGCTTATAACTTCTGATCTAATTAAGATAGAGCAAAAAGAAAAGCACCAGTGAACTCAGCACGTCAAGGCGCGTCGAATGATATACTTTTTAGCTTGCTTAAGTGTACTTAAAGTTTTTCTTAATTTTTAAGTAAACTTTAATTAATCAATTAAGTTCAACTTAACCAAAGTGCATCATATCGCATATCATTCGATTCGGCTGATCATAAGGAACACAATGACACCATTTTTTAAGCTCTAGCGTCATTATGTGCCAAGTTATTGGCAAAAACGTCATTTGACCTCAGTTGACCTCATTTGACCTGACCCATGGATAAGTACACCAAACAAAGAAGCACCAAGTGACCTGCTGTTAAGTACTGTGGTTTCAAAGCACAAAAGTGATAGAACGAGGCGGATATCTCCAGTATTTTCCGAATTTAGTATTTTCCCATAGGCTTAACATTACGGCGTAATGACCTCTAACTGACCTCAGGTAAGTGACCTAAAAAAAAACGAACTATATGTTATACAACTCGGTGAACTTAGCACATCCTGAAAGTTTGAAGGAAATCAGTCGAAAACTGTGAGTTGGACAGGTGCAAAAAGAAAATTGAAATTTGACCATGACCTTGTACCGGTTTTTCTGACCTGGTGACCTGACCCAAGGTCACCCGGACCTGAAATTTTCAGGTAATATGTAAAAAGGTTGCCCCATAGGCTGTGCCAAATTTGGCGGCGCTGCGCGCCGCCGTTTTTACGCTATCTTCGAAAAACCTGGGGTCGCATCGACCCCCCCTGCCAGGGCGAGGGTTAATCTTTTTGACGTTCTGAAATGCAAATGATTGAATTAATGTTCTCTCACTTCACATACGGTAGTTCCCCGTTGCTGCACTATTTCTCCGCTCCTTGCATCATCCCAGTTTGCTGCTGCTCTGAGCCGCTTCCCGCTGTGCCAGGGTTCCTCCGTTCGAAGCCGAGCTCGCATCGTGAGGCAGAGCGGCAGGGCCATCGCCGCGTAATCAA